TGCCTGGCAAACGCAAAGTCCTGAATTAGATTCCTGGTACCAAAAAAAAAAAAAAAAAAAAAAAAAAAGATGAGGGTTTTAAAAAGTAACATGGAGTACTAGTTAGCCATAAAGAAGGATAAACAAGCAGTTTGCAGCTAAATGGACTTTTTTTTTTTTTTTCAAATACCAGGAGTCAAGCTTAGGACCTTGCACTTGCCAGGCAGGTTCTGTACCACTGAACTATCCCCAGCCCAGCAGATGGATTCTGAGACCATATGCTGAAGTAAAATGTGTAAATATGGCATTGTCTCCATGATGTGAGAAACTGAAAGTGTAAATAAGAACTGATGTGTACTGATGTGTGCAACAAATATTGTAAAATAAGAAGAAACTGCTTAGAAAGAAAGGGGAGCTAAAGAGAGAAGAGAGGGAAGAAGAAAATGAAAAATAAGGATAAAGACCAGGGAGATAGCTCAGTGGCATAAGCACTGGCCTGACAAGCTCAAGGTCCTGATTTCGATCCCTGGTACCACAAAAACAAACAAAATAAAAGAGTAAAATGGAATGGAAACAAAAGATGTGCAAGAAAGGAGAGCAAAGGGACTGAAGGGAGAATGGGGGGAAAAGTGGAATCAAGGGTTACCATGTACAGGTATAGGCTCACTATGATAAATATGATCATTATGTATATCTAAATTATATCAATAAACTTATTTTGAAAGCTAAAACCTAAGGACCAGCAAGATAGCTCAGCAGACTAAGTGCCTGATTTGGCAAGTGCAGGGACCAGGGTTTGATCCCCAGTTCTGTATGAGACACCCACCCCGCCCCTGGGGCACACTGAGCTGGCCACCAAGTCCTGGCATGGTGATGTATGCCTGTAACCCCAGCACTGAGGAGGCTGAAAACAGGAGGATCCCTATGATTCTAAGCTGCATAGTGAGACCCTGTACCAAATACATAAAATGGAAAAAAATAATAAAAACATAAAAACCAAAACATAAACTATAATGCTTTTTCACCTAATCTATACCGGGTTTCTTTTAGTGTGAGTTCCTTAATACACTTCAAGATAAATGGAAGATTGAGTGGTTTTACACATTTGCTTATGTGAATACGGCTTTAGTCCCATGTGAATTTTTGAATGTAGTAGAATGCAGAGATAAAACATTTCAAACATTATGTTCAGAGTGTTTCACTATGAATTCTTCCATATTTGTAGCTACACTTCTGTATGCTGAAACATTTTTTACATCGCTACAGAAAAGGGGCTTCCCTCCATAGTAAGTCCTTTTGTCTCCATGCACAGCATTTTGTAGATTCACAGCTAATTACCTTCTTACTTTTTTTGTGTCTATGAGGCTTGCTGGAATAACTGATATCTTCTATAAATTGCTTAGGACGATTGCCACATACTGTTCAGTGTGATACTTTCCATGTGCTTGACTATACCAGAGTGCAAAGAATGCATCCCAACATTGCTCATATAAATAGAATTTACTCCACTGTACTATTTTTAAAGGCATGAAAGCTCCTCACTATACTTTTTTCATGTATTTCCCAGTTACTATGTGTTGAAAGTTTCCCCACACCACTTACACATATAGTTTCTCAGCAATTTCTTTCAGGATTCCCAAATACTGAGTGGGGAAAGCTATCCCACATAAATTACATATATGGGGCTTCCCCTTAGCATGAGTACACAAATGTCTTTTACAACAACCTTCAGTGACAAATGCTCACCTTGCTTACATAAAGTTTCTCTACAACGTGAGTTATTTTGTCTGTGAAAATGACTGTCTGATGACCCCATATTGATCACAAACAGCAATTCTCCCCTGTGTGCATTCTTTCATGACTATGACAGTTTCCTTGGTCACTGAAAGCTTGCCCACAATGCTTACACACTTAACAGTTTCACATCTGTGTGAGTTCTTTCATGTCTTTTGCAGATATTGAGTGTGCTAAAAGCTTTCCCACATTGTTTACATGCATAAGGTTTCTCACCAGTGTGAATTCTTTCATGGACTTTACAATAATCATGTGTCCTAAAAGCTTTTCCGCATTGTTTACATACATAGGGTTTCTCTCCTGTGTGAATTCTTTCATGTCTTTGACAACTACTACCTATGCTAAAAGCTGTTCCACAATGCTTACATACGTAAGGTTTCTCCCCAGTGTGTGTTCTTTCATGTCTCTGGTATGCTACACTTTTGATAAAGCGTTTTCCACATTGCTTACATACAAAAAGTTTCTCCCCAGTGTGAATTCTTCCATGTATTTTACATTCACTGAGTGTAATAAACGTTTGCCCACATTGCTTGCATTCATAGGGTTTCTCCCCAGTGTGTATTTTTTCATGTACATTACAATTACTGCGTCTTCTAAATGTTTGCCCACATTGCTTGCATTCATAGGGTTTCTCTCCACTGTGAATTTTTTCATGGTTTCGACAATTATTATGTGCGCTAAAAGCTTTCCCACAATGCTTACATACATAGGGTTTCTCTCCACTGTGAATTCTTTCATGTTGTTTACAACCACCACGTGTGATAAAAGCTTTCCCACACTGCTTACATATATAGGGTTTCTCCCCACTGTGAATTTTTACATGATACTGACAGCTATAACGTGTGGTAAAAGCTTTTCCACATTGCTTACATACATAAGGTTTCTCCCCATTGTGAGCTTTTTCATGAGTTTCACAAGATCCCTGTGTCTTAAATGCTTTCCCACACTGCTTACATACATAAGGTTTCTCCCCAATGTGAGTCTTTTCATGTCTTTTGCAGTGACTGCATATGCGAAAAGCTTTCCCACACTGCTTACACACATAAGGTTTCACCTCAGAGTGAATCCTTTCATGTCTTTTGCAATCAAAGCGTCTGCTGAAAGCCTTCCCACATTGCTTACATACATAGGTTATCTCCCCAGTTTTTCCTCTTTCAAGTTTACGAAATGAAGGGTTCTTAGTTAAGGATTTACCAGTGTACTTATACATAGAGTGTTTTTCTCCACGGTGAGTGCTTTCAAATTTCCAAACATTGTGGGGAGATTTAAAATCTTTTCCACCTTCACTAATATGTCTTTCTTGGATTTGAACACAGTTCAGTGTGCTAAAGGCTTTCATATCTTGCTTATATTCAAAGGGCTTCTCTATGGTGGTTCCTTCAGTACAATCAGAGTAGGATTTTTCACCTTGCTTATATTGATTAGCTTTCTCTTCAGTGGTTGCCTTAGCATGCTCCTGAAAGGACTGGAATTCATTGCAGGCTTCCCCATGTTTGCTCCAGTTAGACAGCCTTTCCTCAGATCCCTGATACTCATATGCTTTGAGTTCAGTGTTAGCTATGATGGTCACAACTGCTGATGACTGACTAATCAGGGGCTTTCCACAGGCAAAGCTTTCACCTTGTTTTGTACCAAATGCTTTCAGGTACACACTGCCATCTGGAGACTGAAAAACCATTTCTTCATGCTGGTACCATAGTTCGAGTGTATGCCATTTCTCTAATTCTTCATTTCTGCAATAGCAAAAAATAACACTACTAGCAATCACATTAATGATTGACCAGGAGTTCTAGTGTTTTGCCACCTGAGAATATTTGATCATGATTTTACTGTAAACTTTGGATGATGACTTGGAACCAATTTACAATTGATTTATTGTAACATATAACTCTTTCTGAGGAATCAGTATATATAGGAACTATATGTTAATTATCTTTTATGTGCTTCCTCCATAATTCTATCGAACCTCACATGGAAATCCTTCACTAACATCCTAATACCTGCCACTAGGGCTGGCCAGATAGCTCAGTGGATTGAAGCACTTGCTTAGGCAGATGCAGGGGTTTGGCCTCCAGGCTTGCTGTGTCAGCCCCACCCCTCAGGCACACTGAGACTGGGCATGGTGGCGCACACTTGTAATCCCAGGACTTGGGAGGCTGTAAACAGGAGGATCACTACAGAGTGAGACCCTGTACCAAATACATGCATGCATACATACATACATACATACATAAGAAAGATCATAAATCTAATACTTGCCACTATCTTCTCTATTTCTATTTCAATATTTAAATTATATGTTGAGTTTTACATATAAAATGTGATACTGAAATTTCTGTGCTTCATTTATTTAACTTAATATTATGGGTACAAGATCCATCTATCTTATTGGCAAGTAGCATCATTTATAAGTGCCAAATAATATTCTATTTCATATATTCAGGTCAGACATCAGAAGACCAGAGGCTTATAGAAATCCTACTGAGAAAAGCAAACTTAGGAGGTTTCTGTTGGGAAGAAGGATTGTACTGTTTGTTAGAGTCCTTAATGTGTGTGTTGTGACTTGGCAGAAAGGCTGTCTGCATTTTGCTCATGTCTAAAGACTGCCTGAGATAAAGATTAATGGAGAATGGGGGGGGTGATTAATTAATCTGGCAGAAGAAATTTCAAGGCACTCTAATTTTGAAATGGTAACATGAATACCACTGAGGGCTTTTGCTGAAAATGAACAGGAAAATAAAAGATGGCACGATGACATCACAAGAAGCAGTAGGACTCAGAACTGCAAAAGTAAAAGACTGCTTTGGGAAGAAAGCCAGAGCACTATGTTCCAAAATGGCTGAGACCTAGAGAATTCATTCCTTAGACTTGGATTCAGAGTGCTCAGGAATACAGGCACTCAACCCCAAAGTCAAAAGAGAGAAGCCTGGTTCCTGCTCCTTCAGGCAACAGGCCTTGGCATCATCCACATAGTGCTGGTTTTAGGTGCATATAGAATGGAACAGTTGTGGGTTCAGGATGGCCTTCACCCAGATCTCAGAAGGCCTGGAGACCAGACAGTATGCCCCTATGAGGGCACTGTGTGAGGCTGTAAAAGTGCATCTGAAGGTGCAATAGAGACCTCAGAAGGTAGGAATGTGGATGTCTGAGGAAAACAGCACAGAGGAAGCAGAGTGGGCCCAAAAGCGAAGGCATGGAAGCTGCAACCACCAGAACTACTTCACTTCTTGTGACACACTGCCTCAAATGTTGCACATAGTAACTTAGTATTTGCCTTGCTGGATTTTGGACAAGCTTTGTCCCATTCCTTTCTATCCCCTTATGTGTAACTTTTGGAATGGAAATGACTATCTTGTACCTCTGAAAGTTGGAAGTGTTTAACTTTCTTTTCATTTGTACAGGTGCTCACAGCTAAGAGTTTGCCTTAAATCGAAGAGGGCCTTGGAACTTGGGCTCTTGAGCAACACTGAAAATGTTCAGAATTTTGCAACTCTTGGAGATTAACTAAGTGCCCTTTGTTTAAAGTGATGTCCATGAGTCTTTGGGAAGTCAGGGGCAGAATATTATACTGTGTGTCTAGATGTCCCAACAAAGCCTCATATGGTAATAGTTTTGTTGGAGGTGGTTGAATTCAAAGTGCCTGATTAATTCATAGTGCAATGTTGGGATTATGGGTACTAAGATTAAGAGTGGGGAGGGCTGGGGAGATGGCTCAGTAGAATAAGCACTTGCCTAGCAAGCACAAGGGCTTGAGTTCAATCCCCAGTTCTGCCAAAAAAAAAAAAAAAGCAAAAAGAGTGGGTGACTGCTAGATCAGTCCATTCATTGAATTGGTATCACCCAAATTCAGGTAGACTGAATACTGTATAAGGGACAAAAAGAGGCTTCTTTTTTCCCCTGTGTCTGTCTCTATCTCTGACATTACTTTTACTCTCTTCTGTCACACGAACTGTTTCTCCTCTGTGATGCCCTTCTGCAAAGCCACTCTGATTTAGACACAGCCAATTATGGGCTGAAACCCCTACAAATTGTGAGCTACATAATCCTTTCCTCCTTTATATTTTGGTGTCATGTATTTTGTATCAGAAATAAGAAAGTAACAAAGATATACAGGAACAATGTAAAGATTGTACCAATGTAAACTGTTTCCTTTACTACTGTGGAGAATTTAACCAGTAGTAGTATACATCATAAAATGAACTTTTTCAACTCTCCATGCATTTCCACAGCTGTTCTACTACAATGCCAGCACCACCAGTAATATAGGAAGGTGCATTCTAATACTTCAAAACATGAATGGACTTAATGCTAAGGATAACAGTGTGATAACAGCTACAATGACAGAGACATGCATCTGGATTTTGAATACTTTCACCATGTTAGGTGAAAGGAACTTTGCAAATACTTGAAGTATTTACCACATTTAAATATAGCCAGCATTGCTTACATAATTTGTTTCATGAGAAAATGATCTTTATAAAATATTCACACGTATATATAATTAGATATCCTAAAGGTGACTCATAGTCCTAACAATGCATTTGTTTCATGTATCTATTATCAATTCCTAAACATATTGTCATACACATTTATATTAAGCATAGAAAATAATTTGATTCTGATGTATTGCATAATGTCACTAGTGACACAATGTCAGTGTCTCTAAGTTTTAGATATTACAATAACTTAAATATTTGTCAGATTATAGATACTCAATATGTAGCAGTCTTCACAGAAATTTCATGAGACTCAAGAAATCTGAACACTGTCTCACTTGAACAATATGCTTGGTTTAAAAAAAAATGCTTGGTTTTAATATTTCTCCTCATACACTGACACTTGAGCAACATTTTTATGGGAGTATAAATTACCTTAGATTTCTCCGGCAACTTTTGTATTCATCCTCAATTTTCTGATCATCCTGGTTTCTTTCTAAATTTAGAAACAGAAACATAGTGATGAATTCGTAGGTTACACAAAAATTAATAGATTCCGGTAAAATTCCTTGGTACAATGTGCCCATGGTTGGAACAGTTGTTAAAATGTTCCCATTTTCCAATGAAGGAATCTGTGCTGGTACCCAACAACTAATTCTCTTGATTTCATGAATGAGCTAGTGACTCATTCCTTACCTACAGCAGACACATTCCTAAAGGTTTCCCACATCACATCTCTGTAGAGCTTCTTTTGGGAAGGATCCAGCAAAGCCCACTCCTCCCTGGTAAAGATCACAGCCACATCCTTGAACGTCACTGCCTCCTAAATCATCAGACACAGATTTCCAAAGAAGAGTGAGACTCACAACATAAAGCATCTCATGTCTTATCATAAAAAGCTACAATGAAACTGGGTCCTCCAACTGTTTCTTTTATACCTTGTTCACCAATCATTTGTCTATAGCCACATGGATGTATCACACAGCAATTTTCATGATAGGCTAGAATTTATTAGTAAAGCAACAGCGGAATGTAAACACCAGCTCCTCACTGGGTTAAGCTCATCTCATTTCTACATTACCTGTAAAGCACAGTTCATACAGGAAGCCTACAAGCTCAAAAACTAAATGGGGAAAAAAAATTTCATGAATGAGATAGTGATTGATTCTATAGTATCTATCGATACTATAGTAGATAAGTATCAAAGAACCTGAAAGCGTAAATAAAATCTGAAAGGAACAACAAGATACAGAAAAATGGAACGAACCTTCTCAAAAGGAATGAGCAGTTGGGATGAGGGAAGAATTTATGGAAGTGTATACACAGGATAGTGAAGATGATTGTACTACTAAAGTCTATTGGTTTTTTTTTTAAGGAAGTGTTTAATGCTTTAAATTTTTATTTTTACTAACTTTACAATCTGAGCAACTACACTGAAGACAAAAAAGTGCAATATAATAACCATTGGTGAATATCATCTTGGGTTGTGGCTGAAAACCACATCATCTTGGGTTTTTTAAAAATTCTGTATCATTTCTTTTTCTTTTTCTTTCTTTTTGGAGGAACTGGAGATTGAACTCAGGCCCTTGTGCTTGCCAGGGAAGCATTTATTTCACTGAGCCATCTCCCCGGCCCTTCTGTATCATTTCTAATGTCCTATCCATTTTCTTAAATTCTCTTTAAAATAAAAAAAATAAAGTAAACATTAAAAAAAGAACTTTCCGCCAGATCATACAAATATACCTATTCACAACTTATTATTTAGGGACTTCATCCCCAACTTCTTTGATTGCACTTGGATAACATTTTGAAACTTGAAACTTGAATCTGCTTTCATAGATAAAAACTAAATTGAACAGGAGGGAAAATCAATGAACTATAATTTAAAATGTGAATGAAATACTACAGCTTTCACTAGAGAATGTCTAAGAGCAATGAAATTAGGTTAAGGAAACAGCCATTATCTTACAGCTCAAAGACACGAAATGCCTACCTGAGACACAGAAAAAATTTCTAACATAGCTTATGGGAGAAAATTTTGGAAATAGGTAAGATAAAAACATACTGTGGGGGCCAGAGAGATAGATAGCTCAGCTGACTAAAGTGCCTGCTTAGGCAAGCTTAGGCAAGCACTGGGACCGTAGTTCAATCCCTAGCACCACACGCTGCACCAGTCCTGCCCCCAGGGAAGGCTGAGCCAGCCACTGAGTCTGAGCATAGTGGCACAGGCCTGTAATCCCAGCTCTGGAGAGGCTGAAAGCAGGAGGATCACCACGAGTCTGAGATGTGTAGTGACACCCTGCAACAACCAAGTACATTGAAAAAAAAAAGTACTATAAAGAATAACAATATGTTACAACAGTCACAGTAAAAGAAAAAAACTGAAGAAATGCAATCATATCCAAATCACTTTTTTTTTTTTTTTGGCGGAACCGGGGATTGAACTCAGGGCCTTGCACTTGCCAGGCAAACACTTATTCTACTGAGCTATCTCCCCGGTCCCATATCACACGTTTGATTTCTCAAAAAATTATAATTGTTTGGTATTATAAATGTTTAATAACATCCAGTAAATAGCAAATAAGAATGACACAGGATCCCAGGTTCTGCAAAAAAAAAAAAAAAAAAAAGACACAGGATGGCCATTAGAAAGAATGTAGTTTAGAAAGTGAGAGTAAGAAAAAAAAATTCAGTGATTAATAAGGAAACATTTGCTCTAATCAGGCTTAGCAAGGAAGCAGATTTAACACAAGACTCAAAATTTATAGGATTATTTTATAATATTGATGCAAAAAGTCAAATGCAGAAGAGTACAAGAGACCCAAAGAATCTAGCTGAGGGCCTGGATCCAATAGCAATGAGTCCAGGTGGAGTCCTAGAGCCCATGACAATGTTTCATGCAAGTTAGTATCAAGGATTTGCTCTGGGAAGCCCCAGTGTTGAGTGGAGGAAGCTAGAAAGTCTGTGCCATCAGGGTGAAGGACCTGTGCCAGCAGCCTGAGGGTTCTGCCCTGTATCTTTGACGTGATGCTCAACTTAAGGAGCAGAGCTCCACCAAGGAGAAGAGCAGCCACTCTCAGCACTGAGGACCCACATCCCTCTGATGATAACAGCTGAATTCGCATCAGGAAAACAAGGGTGACGAGTTTCTCCAACAACAGCATATGATCCTCCCCTCCAGTTCTCCTTTTATGTTATTAGCAAATTCCAATGTTGTGAATTCCTATGCTTTGATCATATTGTCTTTAACTGAAACACAAATGCAATGAGTGTTGAGGGTTAAACATTTTTACTATAAATCAAAGAGCAAATACAGAGAATTCCACTTTCCAGTTCAGTTGGAAAAATACGAATTTGGGAGACATTGGCCAAAGGAGTCATCAGAAAGAGGCAAGATAAATAAGGGACCTTGAAGAATACTCTGGGTAGGCATGGTGAAAGTTTAGAGCCAAATCTACAGGACAGCAGTCAGCAGAAGTAAGAGCAAGATACTGTCAGAAATGTTTGTGTGGAAAGAATACATTCCTTCTGCCCCAACAAAATGGTTCAAATGAGGTTCATCAGGGGCCAGGGAGATGGCTCCGTGGAATAAGTGCTTCCCCGGCAAGCACAAGGGCCTGAGTTCAATCCCCAGTTCCACCAAAAAAAAAAAAAAAAAACCTAGGTTCATCCATATGCAGGAACACATTGTACCATTTGGACTTGTTCCCTGACAAAAGCTCCTATGCAATATGTGGCAATATCCTTTTCTTCTGCACCTTTGTTCACATGTCCTTGAATTACAAATAAGTATAAATTTCTCAGTTACTGTTTTTTTTTTTAATTTATTTTTTTTAACATTTATTTATGGTGCTGGAGGATCGAACCACGGTCCCTGTGCTTTGCCAAGCTTGTTCCAAGTAGGTGCTTTAGACCACTGAGCCATCTCTCCAGCCCCTCAGTTACTGTTTTTATACCATTCTCTTATGCACGAGAACTAGGCCACTGAATCTTAAGTGACTGAGTTAAATTTGTTCTGAGTGATCTTTCTCATTCTCTATTTAGCCATAGATACACACCACACCACAAAGAATGTTCCTTCCCCAAAACAAAGAGCAACTTAACTGAAAATCAGCAATCATTGACTACTAAGAGGGAGAACAATGAGGTATACTAACAAATGTAAGTTACTCTAAAGAAAATGAAAAACAAGCAGGGCATGGTGGCTCAGGCCTGTAATCCCAGATCTCAGGAGGCTAAGGCAGGAACATCATTGAGTTCAAAACCAGCCTGCACTACAAAGTGAGTTCAAGGCCAACCCAAACTACATAGTGAGACCTTGTTTTGTTTAGTAGTTCCATCTTTCTTTTTTTGTCTTTCTGACACAGGGTTTTAGAAATCCTAAAATTTTTAGATTTACCTCAAACAATACTTAACAAAATGTCAGTAATAATAAGAGATAAATGGTATCAAGCTTCTGAAATTGAGGAGAGAATAAAAAATAATTTTGAAAATTTTAGTTTTAAATTAAGTTCTGAGTGGGGAAAACAACACTGCTCCTAATCTAAACAAATGGGATTAATTCTATACCCAGTTCTTGGAAGTAAACAAAGTATCTCAGATCAATCACTCCAATCAATCCCTCTAAGCACTAAAAAGGAAGATATGATTTTGAATTTTACTCGTTAGACTAATGAACTATTAGCAACAACAAAACTCTAAAATAATACAAAGAGAAAGTATCACTAAAAATTGATTTTTTTTTTTTAAAAGGGGGGGGGGGAGACTTCTGGATGATGGAGGAAACAGCCTATCTGAGATTTGGTGTCCAAACAGGAAAATATAAAAATGCAAGAAAAAAAGAAAGAGGGAAATGGGTCCCCAGGAACCAGCAAGGATCTGAAGCAAGAACCTATGCCAATGGGATGAGCAAAGAGTGTGATCTCAAGGCAGGAGGAGGTGACAAGCAATGCTTTTTTCCCTGGGTCCCAACTCACTGCATGGCAGTAAGCAACTCCCTGGTGCAGGTTAATACTGCCAACTCGTGACCCAGAGATCTCCACAGAGAAACTGTCCCATGGATCAGGGCATGTGCAGTAGCACGTGAGTAATTCAGGTTCAGATGGCCTCAAGGAGAGGGTGATCGACCAGAAGCCATCCTGAGAGGGGCCACAGAGCTTGGAACTCAGAGCAGCTGAGGGCTGCCCCCATCTAGCTATTCCCAATGTCAGAGGCAGACCCAAGTTCAAGTCCGTAAGAGGTTAAGGGGCCAAGTTCAAGCTGGCAAGGGGCACACAGAGGTGCATGTTGAACAAATAGGGTCCCAGCCTCAGTTCGAAACCACCCTGATCTTTGGTATAACAAGAGGTGCAACTTGCTGGGATTATCCACTACCTCACTGGAAATCTATGGCTGGCTTGCTGGGATTAATCAACACAGATCTGGGCTATGTCTATAAACTCTATCAGTGATAAGAGAGACATGTCCTGAAGTAGACATATTTTTTCATCTTTTCTCTTTTTTTTTTTCATAACTTTGGTTTTGATTGTGATTTGTTTTCTTTTATTCTTTTTTGTTATTATTTTTATGAGTGTGAACCTTGTTTTTAGTTTTCTTGTTTTGTTCATTTTATTCCTTCTCTCTTTCCCTCCTGTCTTCTTCACCAGTTTCCTAAATTCATGTAATCTTCCTCTGTCCTCCAGCCTTACTTCTAATTTCTTTCTCTTCCTGTATTTCTCTATTTTCCCCCAACTCATATTAAATTTTCTCATCTGAGGGTATAACTCACATTGGGGGCACATTCAATGAAAACCATTTTCTGGTTTGATTCAGATTTTGTTCTACACATGAATAGAATTCACACTGTTAAAGACAGCAAATTGATAGTTACCACTGTTTCTCGTTCTCTAGGCTGCATTTGATACTATTGTTATTGCTGATTGGACAACGTCAGCCAAGTTAACATAGTTTTTCTAATCAGTTGTTCTTCCTGCTATGCCAAGACTGAGAGCACCTAAAGTTCATAAACAATACCACAGGCCAGTGATAAAGAACCAGGGTCTAGGCTAAATAGGTAGCAACTTTTATCCTCAGTGAATTGAAGAGTTAAGATCTTCCAACAGACTCAAAACCCAAAAGTCACCTCTACACCTGTAAGACTTCTCTCAGAAATAGTCATTTTCTAAAGTTCTAAGTACTAGTAATAAAGCTACCTGCCATAAGCAATTTACAATCATCAATGCACAGATTAAACTAAAACACATATGTTAAAAAAAAAAAAAAAAGACATTGGAGCAAGAAGCAGCCCCAGAATTCCAACTAACCAGAGGCAAGCCAGGAGGCAATGAGGTGGAACAATTCAAAAACCATCTAGCTGAACCATCGGAAGTGCTAACAGAGGAAGAAAGCAATGAATGAATAACTAGCAAAAGATCAAAGCAGGGCCGGGGAGATAACTCAGTAGATTAAGTGCTTGCCTGGCAAGCACAAGGTCCCGAGTTCAATAATGCCCCACTCCCAACCCTGTACGGCAAAAAGAAGAAAAAGATGAACGCAGAGGGCTGGAGAGAGCGCCTGCTTAGGCAAGTGCTAGGCAAGCACAGGAACAAGAGTGAGATCCCCAACACCACATGCTGCGCCGGCCCCACCTTGGGGCACGCTGAACCATCCACTGACAACTGGCATGATGGCACATGCCTGTGATCCCAGCCCTGTGGAAGCTGAAACAGGAGGATCACTACCAGTCCGAGCTGCATAGAGATCCTGTGCCAAATATATTTTAAAAAATAAATGGTGCTGAGATGGTCTTCAATGTTATTAAAACTAGACCCGTATCTTTCACCAAGCACTAATCAAGCATCCCAATGGATCACAGATCTAAATAGAAGCACTAGACCTATTTGAAAATAGAAGTACAATTCACAAAGAAAGACATTGGTGTAGACCAAGACTATAAACAAAAACTTGATCACATAGGAAGTATCACTAAAAATAAATAAATAAATAAAATAATGCACAGCAAAAGAAGTCACCAGAGGGCCAGGGAGATGGCTCAGTGGAATAAGCGCTTCCCTAGCAAGCTCAAGGGTCGGAGTTCAATCCCCGGTTCCGCAAAAAAAAGAAGTCACCAGAGTGAAGAAACTACCCACTGTACAAAAATCAGTTTTGCCAGCTGGTCCTCAGAAAAAGAACTAATTCCTAGAACACATTAAAAAAAAAAAAAAATCAGATCCTTTAAATAGGTATCTGAAATGGACACCTCTCAGCTGAAGAATGAGAAATGGCAAATAAATAAATAAATAATGTTCAACATCACTGATCATTCAAGAGATGCAGGAGTAGATGCTCTGGAAGACATCAGGGTGGTAAGCAGCAGAGAAAGCCACTCTGTGAGGTGCCGTTCAGACACCGCAACATAGAAACTTGAGGGCAGGCTGGAAGGAACTGGGTCCCGTGGACCCAGGAAGGATCTGAAGTGAGAATTGAAGCCCATGAGGAGAGTGAAGAGAGACAGTTTAATGAAGGAGGCAGCTGATAGTGTCCCCTCCCTGAGTGGGGACTCACTGCATGGAAGGAACTTGTGGGGCCTACAGGCATATGGTGACTGCTGGCCATGATTGCTGGGGAACATGGTCGTTCCATGGGAGAGAGCAACTGGCCAGGAGACATCTTGGAGAGAGGTCAAGTGAGCTCAGAACTCAGAACAACTCCTGGGTCCACCACAGCTCCCAGTTGAATTCAAGCCCACAGAAGGGGCACTGACTGGGTCACTGAATGGGTCTGGTCTTGGACCCCATGGCCAGAATCCAGCCTGAATTCCAGGTAAATAATGGTGCAGGCTCACTGAGATAATTCACTGCCCTGCCATTAATGCTACTGCTTCCTTGCTGGTATAAATCAACACAGATCTGGACTCTGTCTCCACACACTGACTGCCTGTGACAGCAGACACAAACCTGGAAGTGAACTTACTTTTTTCTTTTTTACCTTCATTGTTTGATCCTATTTCTATATGTGTGAATGAGGTTTCTAGCCTCTTTGTGATTATTGTCTGTTCTGTTCTTCCATTTCTTTCTTTCTTCTCTCTTCTTTTTCTCCCTTCTGCACCTGTTTCCCAAAGCTAGCAAGATACTCCTTAGTCTCCTCTAGCCTTACTGCTTATCTCTTCCTTCTCTAGCCTTACTGCTAATCTCTTCCTCTTCTTATTCTCTAATCTTTCCCCAATCCCTTTTAAATTTTTACCCCTGAGGGTAAAAATGACATATTACAGACTAAAATACTGCAAATAATTTTCTGGTTTGTTTTAGATTTTATTAAATGTAATGGTTGACACACAGTGTCAAAAATAGGATTTGGGGCTGGTGAGATGGCTCAGTGGTCTAAAGCACCTACTTAGAACAAGCTTAGCAAAGCACAGGGACTGCGGTTCAATCCCCCAGCACCACATGCCAGCCAGCCCCGCCCCCTGGTGGGCTGAGCTGGCCACACACACACACACACACACACACAAATAAATAAATTTTTTAAAAAAACAACTAGGATTGGAAGTCCCATTTGATCCAGCTATTCCTTTCTGGGCATCTTGCCAGAAGAATAAAAAACTTAATACCACAGTGACATACATGTAACCATGTTTACAGAAGCACAATTTGTAACAGCAAAATTTTGGAAACAACCCAAATGCCTATCAAC